CTTTGGCTCCTGCTGGCATAGACGGGCACTCCATGCTTGTGGTCATCGAGCCGACAGGCACCAAGCTGGTTCAGTTCTGGTCCTTGCTCTTTCATCAGCAGCACCCAATCCCGGCCTGGAGGCGCAATGGCCTGGTCAGAACGCATCTGGAGTTCAGTTCTGGATGCCACATTGTAGGAGGCACATTGGCAGACTGGAGAGTGGCCAGAGGAGAGAGGCCAGGGGCAGTAGTAATTGTGCCTTTTCTTTAGTGATTTAGTGTTTACAAAGCACTTCACAGCACATCATTAGCTCATTTGAACCTCTAAGTTATAGTTGGCATTATGTCCTCATTTTAAAGATGAGGAAAACAGGTTCTGAGTGGTTAAGGGATTTTCCTGGTTCATACATGTAGTGTGTGTTAGAAGTTACATTCAAGCTCAGCTCCTCCTGAGGGTAGGCATGGCTTTCTTTCTACTCTGTCTTATCAGCTTCTGTGTTTTATAAAGAGAAGTGGAAGGGATGGATCTATTCGACATGGAGAAGAGAAAACTTGGCTCTGTGTGTGTGTGTGTGTGTGTGTGTGTGTGTGTGTGTGTGTGTTTGGGAGTGGGGGGAATGGGACCTAATAGTTGTCATTGGGCATGTGCAGGGCTTTCATGTGGAAAAAGGGATTCTTTTTACCCAACCTGTCCCAAAATATCATACCAAGGATCTGTGGGTGAAATACACATGAAGGAAAATTTCATTTTGATGTAAGGAATGTGAGGACCAGACCTGTGATTACATTGGCCTTGGAAACTCCCAAGCAAGGAAAGTCCACTTACCAGTGCAGATTAGCAGCTCCTGTACAACTCGACAGGAGGTGATTTGCCCAGGGTCTCACCCTCTGCATTCGAGAGAGAAGTGAGGTCTTCCTGGTGTTGAAGCTTGATCTGTTTTATTGGCTCCTCAGTTCTGTCTCCAATGATCTTTTATGAAAACATTTTAAAAGATGCCGATGCTGTTGCGTCTTTGAACAGAATTGTTAGTTCTCGCTGCCTCCCACCCCACAACCCGTCTGCTTTGTCATGAGTGATTCCCACCCAGAACACTGGCTGTGTCTGAAAGTGGCTGCTTCACTTTGTCTCCTGAGAGGCAGGCAGTGTGCCCAGCATGAGTCTCTGAAAGTTATCATTGCTCACTGACTGCACTGATCAAAGGGCTGAGATATTGCATTGTGGTGAAGGAAAAACTTCTAATGATGGAGCCATCTCAGGAAGTCTGCGACTGCCTCGGCAGGTAATGAAGTCTCCATCCCTGGAGGGCTTCCAGCAGAGACTGAAGGATCCCTTCTCTGGGGTTCTTTGTTCAGGTATTGAGGCCACAAAGGTCCTTCCTTCCAACTCGGAGATTCCCTGGCCCGGGTAAGGAAGTCCAGTTTGTCAGGCAGTTAGTTGTGCCAACGGATTCCTGTCAGAGATCTCCCTTAGTCATGGCAGAAGGCAACCTTGGATGTCTCAGCTGGCAGAAGGCTTCTGCTAAGGTCCTTCCTGTGTGCCAGGACCTGTGTTGAGGCCTGGGGATTCCTTCCAGCACCTGTTCAGCTCCTTTCTTCTGAAAGAACAGGCATCGACAGAAAGCCCACGGCCTTGGGACTCTTCTCTTCTTTCAGAGATTCTCTACCTTTCCCTCCAGTCTGTCATTTCAATCAATCAAAAAACATTTGTTAAATACCCATTCCATGCCAGGCACGCTGTGCTAGGCACCGGGGAAGTGAAGAGGAAAAAGAAGTGATCCCCACCACCAAGGATTCACATTCTATGAGAGGAGAAACCCTGGAGAAATATCAGTATAGAAAACATCTCAATGAGGGAATTTTGGTTTTTGGGGGGAGCTGTCAGCTGAGGCGTGAAGAAAAGGCTCATGGAGGGCTGGGGATGCTGCAGCTGGGACATGCAGGCATCCGCCCCCATCATGGAGCATCACTCATACCTCTTGTTGAAATGATTCTCTTGGGCCCTCCGTCCCCCACACCACTACAAAGATGGCAAGGCTTCGCGGCGGCTCCGAGTCTTCTCCTAATTTACTCGGTAGCCAGGAGGAAAGCTGGCTGTGCTGGCAGGGGCCCCAGGAGAACAGCGAGGGCAGAGGATAGATGTCTGCGGATCACAGCTGGAGGCCCCAAATCCTTCAGTTTCCCAGGGACCTTTTCCCATGTTTTAGATTTGCTTATTTTGGCAAAGTGTTGGAATTTTCTCGCTTGTCTTTACTATCTCCCTCTCACACACATTTATGTTTCTTTGTGGAATTAACTCTTGGTTTCTGCTAGAAAAACAAAAATCATTTAGAAAACATTCCTTCAGCTCCTGGATCCTCAGGACCATTTCAGTGAGGCTGGGCAGAGAACTCAAGGTTAGTCAAAGTCTGTGACAGCAGTGACACCCAGAAGGCAGAGCTTTCTCTGACTGGGGGTATATGCTGGCTGACCACTTCTGTTATTGTCCCATTTAACAGAGGGGAAAGTAAGGCTTAGGAAGCCTAAAAGACTTGTTCACAATCGTGTGGCTAGCAAAGTGTTTCAGAGGATTCCACCTGGATTCCATCGTGCTTTTCATGGGACCTCCCCTTTGCTGCTTACTAGTCGTGAGACCTTGAGCAGGTCACTCATCTCCTTTGTGTCCGTTTCTTCATTTGTAAAAGGAAGTAGTTGGACCAGGTGAGCTCTACATCTGTGACACCATGACCCTTGAGGCCACACTGGAGCATTTTCCTTCATGGGCCTGGACTATCCCACGGGAGGGTTGGCTGAAGGAATTGTGTGTGTTTTGGGGAAGTGATGAGAAGAATGTGCTGTCTTTAGATACTTCAAGGATTGCCACATGGAAAAGAGATTCCTTTGGCTTTTCTTGGCCCCGAAGGGTAGGACCAGGAGCCCTGAGAAGTGGCCATGGCAGGCAGCTTTGGGCACGATGATAGTCATACCATTGTCATCATTTTTTCCCCAGTTTTCCCTCCTATGAAAATACTAGAAGAATTCAGTTCAACAAGATTGATAAAGTGTCTGTGATGGGAACATAGATGGAAAGGGATGTAGCTTTTGTTTATAATGTGGTAACCATATTTTAGGGTGCAAGACCTACAGGAAAATAAAAAAAAATGACTATGGAATGTGATGGTGGCCAAAAATCTCCAGAGAGTGAATGAAGCAAGCTGGGTGAAGGAATGAATGACTGAGCAGATGTTTGTGTAGATGATGAGCTTGGTAATGGGACCAGGATAAATATCCACCTTCGGTCTCTCCCCTCAGCTTTCTTTCCCTATTACCAACTACTGATGGAACTCTTCAAAGTGGCTGCTCCATAGACATTGCAAACTCAGCACGGTGAAAGCAGGACTCCTGAGAGTCCGCCCCCACCCCCATCCCGTCCTCTTCCAAACATACACCAAGCTCAGTGTTCTCTGCCCTGGCTTCTCATTGTTCTCATCTTGTATCCAGCTGGTCATCGCATCTCATCATTTCTCCTTCCACACCATCAGCCACCCACTTGGGCTCCACCCCTCATCATCTCCCATCCGGGTGACTCCATCAGCCTCCCACCTGTTCTCACTGCCTCGTGGCTCCTCCATCCCAGGCCACCATACTCACTGCGCCAAGGTCTGATCACATCACTCCCCTGCTCAGCCACGTGCGGTGGCTTTCAGTTGCTTCTAAGGTTAAAATAGAAACTCCTCTTTAACTTTTGCGCTTTCCACAGCCTGATTCCAAGCATTGTTCAACACTCGGTGGACACTGTTCCTCCTCTCACGCTCTCTGACCCAGCCCAGTTGGCCTTCTCTCTCTGTTTCATATAGGACTCCCCATCTCCCATCACCACACCCTTGTGCTGCATATCCCACCTCCGGGAGGACCTTCTCTCCTCGCTTCTTCCGTAGAGACTCCTCCCTTACTTTCAGATGGAGCTATGGTCCATCTCCTGAAGGAAACCTTTCCTGGACTTCCCCAGTGCCTGTGCCCTCTCTCCAAAATTGCTTCGTACTTAACAACTTTACATCTGTTTGTGTTTATTGACTTTGTCTTTGCCTTATATGTAGAAATAGACATACTTGTCTCTCCTATTAAGAGCAGCTGTGAATAGACCACCGGGCCTGGAGTCAGGAAGACCTGAGTTCACACTTGGCCTTAAGCACTTACTAGCTGCATGGCCCTGGGCAAGTCATTTAACCCTGCTTGCCTCAGTTTCCTTATCTTTCAAATGAGCTGGAGAAGGAAATGTCGAACCACTCTAGTATCTTCGCCAAGAAAATCCCCAGTGGGGTCCTGGAGAGTCAGACAAGACTGAAACGTTGGGCCAACAGTAACTCCCTGCAGCGTCAGCTCCCTGATGAAAGAGGTGGTTTTCTTCTTTGTACTCCCATCCCCAGCACCTGGCACAGTGCCCCTGCTGTGCCGGACGTTGTGCCTGCCTGACTCGGGAAAGGAAGCAGCTTGGGACGGCCGCTAGAATGCTCTACGTGCAGACAGGAAGACCCAGCTTCCGATTCTTCCTGACAAGCTGTGGGACCAGTGCCTCGCTGAGCCTCAGAATCCAAATCTGTAAAAGGGGCTTGTCATTGGGCTGTGATGTGGGCCAGGGGAGATAATATGTAGAAAATGCTTTGAAAATATAAAGTTGATGTTGTCGATTCTTAGTATTATCAGCCATAAAATGGACTATACCTCCCTGCCATTGATACTGGAAGGCTTAAATGAGCCCATGTACATGTGCAGAGCTGTTTCCGTATACGCACATATTTGCATATACGTATACATACACATGTATACATGTATATGTAGGTTTTATATATGAGGGTGTGTATATTTTCAAAATTAGACTGTAGATAAAAACCTTTTGTGGCTTTCTAATGCCTTCGTCTTTCAATTTCCTCATCTAAACAATGAAAACAACACCCGCACGGTCTACACAGGGCTGGCCTGGGAGAAAACCCAAGCAGAGTTGGGGTCTCAGCAGCTTTCTCTTTTCTTTCCTCCTCTTCTCCAGGACATTGCTCGCCTGTTGCAAGAGAGGGAGTTACAAGAGGAGAAAAGGCGAAAGAAGCGCTCCTCAGAGCACCCGGGGCCCAACACTTATGATGACAGTTACTACCTGACCAATGGAGGTAATGGTCCCCAGGGGCCTGCTGACTCCTCCTCCCAGGGGCATGGCTGGTGGCTCTTCCTTTTGGTTTGAGTGGCCTTTCCAGGGGCCTCCGGGCCTGGGGAAGGCCTGTCCCTCCCTTGTCCTGGGCTCCCCAAAGCTGTGGCCCTGCATCTGGTCTGAATCTCATGAATGGACCCATCCTCTCATGGCTGACGGAGCCATAGAGAACACTTTGCCCGCGGCAGCCTCTGGTGGGCTGCATGCCGGCCGTTGTGTGTCCTTCCTGCTCTCCCATCTCTCCCTCCTCCTTGGAATATGACTCATCTTGTGAGCATGTCACATAGGGCCTGGACCAGGAATGGTGAGCGGTGTGTGTGTCGGGGGGGTGACCTTCTTCAGTGTGCGCCGTGCTGATCAAAGGCCAAGATGGAATTAATGAGTTGTGCCCCAGTGTGTGGGGAACAACAGCGACCCCTTTGATTTATCTGGTTTGCTGGTTTCATGTGAGCTCCAATTTGTAAATTTTTCTTCATTTCTTGGCCTTAATGATCTCTGATGTTCAATCAAAAATACTTTGCCGGTAGAGAGAGGTGAGACTCCCTCGGGCACTTGCTTTCTTCCTTGCTGTGTGCTGGTGGTGGGTCTCTCTTTCACTGACAGGAGAGGTTGGAATGGTCCTCCATTTCCAGGGGAACCTTCAGGGCTTCGTCAGTCCCCAGGGGCAGGCTTCCCTGAGTCCCTGCTGGGAAAGTCCCATCCCAGACGGTGGAGTAGTAAGCACTTGGTGTCCAGAGTCTGCAGAGACAGATGGCAGTTAATAAGGCTCATGTCTAAGGATCTGAAAGGATTTTGTGAATGCACATCAAACATTTTTATTTAATTAATGATGGTAATAGCTTTGAATTTGTACAGGGCCTTAAAGTTTGCATAGATGCATCATCTCTTCAGAGACTCACAACCTTGGGAGGTTGGGCCCATTAGCATTCCCATTTTCTAGATGTGGGACCGAGATCCAGAAAAGTGAAGTGACTTCTCCAGCGTCGTGTCGACAGGGAGTGTCCTAGGATTCTGGCTCTGGAGCCAGAAGGGACCTTAGGGCCTCTCACCCGATGTCCTCCTCATTTTACAGAGGACATTCAGCCCCTTACTCAGGAGCACCCAGGCAGTCAGGCCTTGACTCAGGGTTCAGATCCGGCTCTTCCTGGCTACAAACCAGACATCCCCTGGGCAATGCTGCCTCTCAGGGCTTCTGTGAGGAGGTGGGCTGTGCTTTGCCCTTCTGAGGAAAAGGGCAAAACCTGGAGAAACTGAGCAGGACAGAAAAGCTGAGAGAGGAAATGAGATTCATGTCTCAGAAACCAAGATCTGAAAGGAACTTTAGATGCCGTTGGCTCCGACCCTCTCGTATATGTATGTCTGTGTTTGAGGAGACCCAGGCCTAGGGATGCTAAGTGACTCATCCAGGGTCATGTAGCTAGGGACCAGCAGAGCCGGGATTTGAACCCAGGGCCTGTCTCTGCAAATCTGGGACGTCTTTGACTCTGCTGTGCTCCTGGACATTCTGTCCTCAGCCATGTCCCTGTTCAGGAAATGAGAGCCCATCTCTGCTCATGGGCCCACCATCCTGGAAACAGTATCTCCCTCTAGCTAAGGGGCCCACTGAGATCTCCTTCCTTCTGGGGATCAGCCCTTTCCAACACCTCTCCCATTCCCCTCACTGCTCTGGGCTCTTCCATCCGTGTGGATGACTTGGCTTTGTGTGATTTGTGCCTTGCCTGATTAATTGACTAACCATCTCCCAAGAGGCCTGCTTCTCCCACTCGTCTGCGTTTCTCCTTGATCAGCAGATTACAAGGAATGCATCAGCCTCCTTCCACAATGAGCATTTGCAGACTGTATTCGAATTGGGAATTGTCCAGACACCATCTGCCACATTGACACCAGTTATAGAATGTTTAGCTTGGGATCTGCTTAGAGGGCCATTCCTTGGGGAGGCTGGCTTGCAAGGAATTGTCATGTGTGCAGATAGGTTCACAGTGGTACATCTTTGCACTGTGTATGTAAACATGCATACATATTGATGCCCCAACTGACGTATATCTCCAGTGTCCAAACTCATACATACATACACATGTGTATGTATGTATGTGTGCGTGTGCGTGCGTGCGTGCGTGCGTGCGTGCGTGCGTGTGTGTGTGTGTTTGTATGTGGTGGGACTTGGAAAGGCGGCCCAAATGGTCCTGACTTTGAGGTTCTCTGCATCCATTGTCCCACACTGCTTCTCAACCTAGGTAAGAATGGGGAATGCTGTTTGTCAAAAATATATAGTAAGACATACACACACACACACACACACACACACACGCACACACATGTATATAAGCATTATAAAATCTACATCATCTATGCCTATGGCCAAAGCCAGATCTAGAAGTAGGTCGATTGTGTCTTTGTAAACAAGAGAGCTCTCTGAATTATACAGGTCTGTGTATGCATTTGAGAGAAATGATTATTAATAACTGGTGATTTGGGGAGCTCAAGGGTTCCTCCTTTTCCTAAAGTCCTTATTTCAAAGCCCAGTCCCTGAAGGACATTGTTGATAATGAGATTGAATTAACTTTCTCCTCAGTCTCATTCAGACCCCACTCAGCTTTACAAGGAATTTATTCTAAGGTGGCTCTATGAGCACGGGTTTGGGTGGGGATAAATTCTTTAATTAGTCTGCCTGAGGCTAGGCAATTGAGATGCAAATGAAGTAATCAAAGTTAGGCCCCTAGCCCCTCCTTAGAATAGGTCCACCTCTCACTCTAATATTCAATCTCTCTCATTAATTGTTACCCCATCGGAGTTGACTGCCACCCTCAGGAAGACCCATTCTTCCAAGGGCGTGTAAACTATGAGCCCACTGCCATGATTCGTCTTTGGTCAAAGACAGAGGACAAATGACTATTCCTTTCATTACTAAAATGATTAATGACCCAGAAATTATGTCTCTCGCACTTTTAAAATGTCACACATTTAAACATATCGACACATAAAATTGTCTATATCTACCCACATGCTCAGTTTCATTCTAAATCAGAAACATCTCATTGCATACATGTGAGCTCTTATTTTGGTGCCTGTAAGAGTGGTCCAGTGCTAGAGCAGTGTCCTTCTTGGTGTGGGGGTCTCCCAGTCAGGTCTTTTCTCTACTAACAGAGATCTGAGCCCACCCTGCCCATCGTGTCTCAAAGAGCTGCCAGGGAACTGATCAGGGAAGCATTTTGCCCCAGGGCACACAGCGTAAGTACCTCTGGGTAAGGACTTGAACCCCTATGGGCCTGACTTTGAGGCGCTCTCCACCCACCAGCCCACACTGCTCCTCAGCCTGTGTGAGAATAGGGAATTCGATTGGTCGAATTAGCATGCTATGGAACAGCATTCAAATTATATCCCTGCTCTGAGCTTGAAGAGGGAAAAAAAAGATTGATAAAACCTCTAAATACCTACCTGCTTAAGATGCAGATTTAATCTGCATCTTATTAGCTTTTAGTCAGATACAGTGATGCTCACTCTAATACTTGCATTCCCAATAAGTCCTGTTCAGATTTCGTGGCCCATCAGCCCTATGTCCAGCCCTCCGTTCTCTTTCGCAGTTCACTTCTCTTCAGTACTGGGGAGAATGTGGAAGGCTTGGTTTTTCAGTTCTGTCATGTGTTGGAAGCAAAGGAAATCTACCCTATTCAGAACACCAAACACGGCCTGCTCCCTGTTGGTGGGGTTCTCTGAGGAGATAGAGTCTCACTTTGCCTAGGATGAATTGCTCATTGAAATGACCAGTTGGGTCATTGTGGATGTTGCAGTATGGGGGGAGGGAGGCTTTTTCCAAACAGGTGTTAGGTGTGTGCAGGTTTCTGTGTATGTAAGGGAGGAGGGGAGCTGAAGTTGGAAGGTTATTGGTGAAAGGACTTTCTGGAAAGATATCTAAGTATTATAGTATAACGTAAGAGAAACAGCGTGGTATAGTGGATAGGGAGTCCATCTTGGAGCCGGGATGACTGAAGTTCATCCGTACTGGCTGTGTGACTCAGTGCCCCTGGCATCTCTTTAATACTCTACGCTGCAGGGCATTGCATGATACTAAGCACTCTTCCTTACCGGCATTAATAGGGGGCGTTTTCTCATTGGCAGTTTTCTAAACCAATGAAATCACAGGTCAGGGCCCCCCAAAAAGATGCCAGCTTACTCAAACACAGGGAAGCTTCATAGGTCCCACCTGAGCGTCCACCTCTGTCACTGATTCTTTCACCACTGTTGCAAATGCTCATGGCCTGCATTCTGCTGCACCAGCCTGTGTGAGCTCGTGTTGATTCACGACCCCAACGAAGCCATCTTCTCTGTTCTGTTGCATGATAAGTGAGGGCCCTTCCTACCCTATTGTGTGAGTTGTAGGCTGTTCCTGTGTGCTAACATTGAGCTAACTTGCTTCTCTCTTTGTCATGCCTCCCCCCTCCACACTCAGATCCTCCAAGGTCAAGGAGGAACAGAAAGCTGGGTTCTGAGTCCCCAAGGTCTCGAAGGCACCAAGAAGATAGGCCTGTGAGGAGGAGGAGGGAGAGACCTAACAGGCCTTCAGAAGATGTGGAAGAATGCCAGGACCACTACAGCATGGAGAATTCTGGGTCACCACTCAGGCTTAGCAAGACAAGGGATGATCCCCAGACTAGCTGGGAACCCCAGGAAAGGAAGTCCCCTGGTCATGAGAGACTCCCAAGATCTCCCGTTCCCAAGATCAGTGGGGAGGTTTTACTGAGCACTGAGAATGATTGGGACTGCAACCTTGGCCATGGTTCTGTGAGGCATTCCGACAGCCCTCGATCCTACCACCAAGACCGACTCTCACCCAAGTGCTCCCAGAAGCCAGGGTCTCATAGGAAAGAAGAAAGGCATAAGAGAGACCACGGGATGGGGGATTCAAGAGATAAGAGGGAAGGTCACAGGACGAGGACACCTCTCTCCTCCCAGAGTGAGGAAAGGCACTATTTCAATGAAACAGGTAATGGAGGACAGGAGAAACTAGAAGCCTCAGTTTACCCTGAGACTGGCTGATATAGGCAGTAGGTGAATTTGGCAGGGGCCTTTGTTCTTGTAAGCTCCTGGGTTTAGAGGCATTTCTGGGATCCAATATGTTGCAAGGTCACTTACATCAACACACTGTCCTTTCTTGTACTGGAAGTGAACTTAGTTGGGGAAAATAGGAACTAGAAAGTATTTCTGTCTCTTACTGTCTCCTTCCACAGAAGAAGCCCCGACACCTTCCTAGGGCACCATGCCGATAAGAATGCTTTGGTTCTCGATCACTTTTGTCATTACAAAATAAGAAAATTTACCACCACACCCTACCATGCAGGCATTTTTGAAGTGCCTCCTAGGTGTCTGGCATAGTTCTGGGGACTGGGAATTTGTATTTTGAAATTTTTGTCCAGATCTGTTATTTCATTGATGGGAGGTGGAGGAGGAGGAGGAGGGGATCTCCTCCACCAGTGCAGATGAGTCACAGCTCTGCAACTGAGCGTCTCAGAATTGGTTGGAGACATCGAAGGATTAAGTGACTTACCCTTGATCACATGGTCCACAGTGTCAGAGGAAATATTTGAACTCAGGTCTTCCTGACTCTGAGGCTGGCTCTCTATTCAGCATCCCAAGCTGCTTGTAAAAGGTTCTGGGCATATGGAAACAAACAACAACAACAACAACAACAGCAACAAAAGAAATAGCCCATGCCCACAAAGTGGTTACATTTCACACGTACACAGAAAAGAACCCAGGGTTTCTTGTTTCAAAGCCAGCCCTTCTCCCACTGACCATTCCATACTCCCTCTCTCCAGAGCTCTCCATTCTTCTTCTAGTCCAAGAAAAGAAGGAAAACATGGCTGTTCACAATTACCTTGCATACTACATGTAGAAAGCAAATACAAAGTCATTTTGGGGAAGAATGAAAGCAAACCAGGGCTGGCAGTGGAATTAGGAAAGGGGTGTACTTGAACTGAGCCTAACAGAGAGCTAGGTGTCCTTACCTAAGGACTCACTGTCACACTTAAGAAGGTCCAGATTTCACTGGACAATCAACAATTTGGTTTTTCACTTCTGTCTGAAGTACTTTGTGTCACCTATATTTGAGACTTCTAGCCTAACAGGGATTTGATCTTTTCCCCTGAGGCATGGTAGATTAAATAAACTCCCCCAGGCTTTTGGAAATTTGGAAATGTTCTACCGAGTTTCTCTTCCCTAACTCCCTCTTCTTGTGAAAGCTTCAGTTTTTCCCACTTCTTTTCTCACTTCCCATTTCTAGATGGGCCAGAAGATCTAGAAAGAATGTCCCAGTTGCTGCTGATTCAGCGGCAGCTTTCATGTTCAGTAAGAAAGGAGGTGACAGAGGAACCTTCCAAGCAGGCCCCCTGCAAATGGCTCCAGGCAGGTCTGTGGGCATTCCATGGGTGTGAATGTGATGAGGGTCTGCCCTTCTACATGCTTGTTTGGAGTAAACAGGACTGGCCCAGGGTTAGTGCTGAGAAAAGACGGGCATTGTATACAGTGCCAGCAAATGCCAGGTGCTCTGGGGAGATCTCCTCATCTTCATGTTCCACACTGGTTGGGAAATGAGCAGACTGACTGACTACATTGACTTTTTCTAGGAATGAAGCCAAGGGGGACAAAAGAAGCCATCTATACACAGCCAAGAATGGCCCACAGGGAGCAGGAATTGTACGATGCAGAAATTGCCAGGAAGCTTCAGGAAGAAGAACTCATGGTGAGCAAAGATGGCAACAGAGAAGTCCTGGCCAGATTAATCTTTGTATAACTCCAGTGAAACTGGATGTTCAGTGGTGCTTACCAGCCCTAATGGGCTGGAGGTGTGTGTGTGTGTGTGTAGGATACTTGTTTTCTTCATACATCCAGGTAAGTCAATGAAAATGGATGTTGAAATGTTGTGCATGCCCCTCCCCCCGAATTCCTGATGATAACAGCATCCATGTGTCAGGTTTGATGATAGATTCGGGACGAGGAAAGTTGTTATTACAGTTCCCCCTCTGAATGTCCCTTGTAGACATCTGAGATACTGACCTCAATCCTCTCAAACCTCAACTTCCCTAAATCCAGTGGGGGCCTTTCATTCTCTGGAATCTTCCCTGAGCTTCTCAGCTATTTTCACATTTCCTTCCTTTCAGGCTAATCAGGTGGACAAGAGGGCAGCCCAAGTGGCACAGGATGAGGTGAGTTACCCAAGGCTCCTGTGAGAACTAGGAGATGTCTGTCCCTGGCTCCGTCTGGGCTGGCTCTCCAGCCATGGCTGACTTGTTCTTCCAGGAGATTGCCCGGATGCTCATGGCTGAAGAGAAGAAAGCCTACAAGAAGGCAAAGGAAAGGGAGAAGTCCTCCTTGGAAAAGAGGAAGCAGGATCCAGACTGGAAGGTAATTTTGCCCAGCATCTTTCACTAGAGGCACCACCCTTAAGTGAATTGGATACTTTCAGTCCACAGATCTGGCCCCTTTTCAGACACAAGCTGTGCACATCCTGGGGAGCAAAGTCATCAAAGGATCGTTGGCTACTTCATCAACAAGTGTTTCTTAGGCACCTACTGTGTGCCAGGCACTGTGATAAGCACTAGGATTAAAAGGGAGACAATCCTTACCCTCTAGGATGTTATGTTCTCTCATGGGAGATAATGTAATCATCAGGCAGTCAGTTCATCCGCGTGTGCTAAGCCACTACTATATGTCAGGCATGGGGATACAAAGTCAAAATGTAGTGGCTCCTGTCCTCAGAGGAGCTTCCATTGTCCCAAGGGAGGAAACAATATGTAGATAGCCAATTGTATACAGAAGAACTGCCAGTATTGGCGGAGGGGTGCTAGGAACGGAGGGATCAGGGGATGTTTTGTATTTTTTGTATTTTTTTCTTTGTAATTTAATATTTTGTTTTCCCCAGTTACATGTAAAAACAGTTTTTAACATTCTTTTTAAAACTTTGAGTTCTAAATTCTTTCCTCTCCTCCACTGAGACAAGCATTTCAATATAGGTTATAATGAGTAGTCATGCAGAAAAACAAACAAGAAAAAACAAGAAAAATAAAGAAAGTAAAAAAAAAAGGTCTGCTTCAATCTGTATTCAGACACTATCAGTTCTTTCTCTAAGGATAGATAGCACTTTTCATCCTAAGTCCTTCAGAGTTGCTGAGAATAGCTAAGTCATTCTAAGGTGATCATCTTAAAATGTTGTTACCTTGTACCCAGTACATTTCACTTTGCATTAGCTCGTGTAAGTCTTTCCAGGTTTTTCTGAGAACATCCTGCTCAACATTTCTTATAGTATAATAGTATTCCATCATAATTGCATACCCTCATTTGTTCAAGTATTCCCCAAATGACAGATGTCCCCTCAATTTCCAATTTTTTGCCACTAGAAGAGAGCTGCTATAATATTTTTGTAAATATAGATCCTTTTCTTTCTTATTTTTTTTTAAATCTCTTTTGGGATACAGACCTAATACAAGTATTGCCAGGTCAACGGTATGCCCTTTCAGCATAGTTCCAAATTACTCTACAGAATGGCTGAATCAGTTCACAGCTCCACCAACAGTACATTAAAGTCTCATTTTTCTGTCCTATTAACCAATCTAATAGCTATGAGGTGGTACCTCAGAATTGTTTTGATTTCTATTTCTCCAATCAATATTGAGTTAGAGCATTTTTTCATATCGATGTAGATAGCTTTGATTACTTCATTAGAAAACTGATCATATCTTTCAGTTGTTTATCAATTGGGGAATGGCTCTTATTTTTATAAATTTGACTCCGTTCTCTTTTGTTTGAGAAATGAGGCCTTTATCAGAGAAACTTGCTTCAAAATTTTTTTCACAGTTGTTGTTGGTAACTGTATTTCCCTCCATCCTATTCTCCTCCCGCCATTTATTCTATTCTCTCTCTCCTTTCACCCTGGCCCTCTTCAAAAGCGTTTTGCTTCTGACTACCCCCTCCCCCAATCTGCCCTCCTTTCTATCACCCCCCCTCTCTTACCCCTTCCCCTCCTTTCCTGCAGAGTAAAACAGATTTCTATACCCAACTGAGTGTGTATGTTATTCCCCAGGGGATGTTTTCTGTTGAAGGTGGCCTGGGAGATAATAAGAGCCCCCATTTCTACTTCTTCACGTGACTTATCTTATTTGATTCTCACAACCTTTTAGAGATCCATGTAAGGTATTGTGAACCCCATTTTGGAGATAAGGAAACTGAAGCTCAGAAGAGTGAGGTACTTTGCTCAGGCATCCAGGAGTTGCCACCATCACACAAAACACTTCAGTCCAGGGCTTCCTTTTCCAAGGCCTTGGTCCACCAATGATCCTTCTCCAGCTCATTTTACATATGAGGAAATTGAGGCAAACAGGGTTAGTCATTGTCTGAGGCCAGATCTGAACTCTGAAGATGAATCTTCTGGATTCCAGGTCTGGCACTCTATCCACTGTACCACCTTACTGCCTTAGCAAACAGGGTTAAGTGACTTGCCCAGGGTCACACAGCTGCCCATGGACCATCTAAATGCCTAAGATCTCTTTCAACTGTGGAATTCTATCATCAGAAAACTGGGGATTTTTTTTATACATCTTAAGTTTTTCTAATAAAGGCCTCATTTCTCAAATATATAGAGAACTAAGTAAAATTTATAAGAATGCAAGTCATTCTGTAAATGGTAAATGGATGAAGACTATGGATGGGCAGTTTTCTGATGAAGAAATCAAAGCTATCTATAATCATTTGAACAAATGCTCTTATTCACTATTGATAAGTGCAAATTAAGGTGACTTTGAGGTGCCACCTCAGACTATCAGATTGGCTAATATAATAGAAAAGGAAGATGTCAGATGTTGGAGGGAATGTGGAAAAATTGGAACACTCATGCACTCATGCATGTGAATTTGTGAACTGACCCAACCATTCTGGAGAGCAATTTGGAACTATGCCCAAAGAGCTATGAAACTCAGCATACCCTTTGGCCCAGCAAGAGCACTAGTAGGTCTGTATCCCAAAGAGATTTTTAAAAATAGGAAGAAGACCTATTTGTACAAAAATGCTTATGGCAGCTCTTTTTGTGGTAGCAAAGAATTGGAAATTGAGGGGATGCCCATCATTTGGTGAATGGCTGAACAAGTTGTGGAATAGGATTGCGATGGAATTCTGTTGTGGCTCAAGAAATGACTAGCAAGATGCTTTCAGAAAAACCTGGAAAGACTTACATGAGCTGAAGCAAAGTGAGGTGAGCAGAACCAGGAGAATGGTGGATACAGTAACTTCAGTAGTATACAGTGACCAGTTGGGAATGACTCAGCTCTTCTCAGTAATACAGTGATCCAAGACAATCCTGAAGAATTTAGGGTGAAAAATGCTCCGCCTCCCCAGAGAAGGAGTTGATGGAGGATGAATGCACATTTAAACGTGATTTTTTAACTTTTTGTTTTGGTTTTTTGTTACTTTTTGGTCTCTTTTCTTTTGCAACATGGCTAATGTGGAAATATATTTTGCATGACTGCACATGTGTAGCATATCAAATTGTTTGCCTTCTCAATGAGGGGGAGTGGAGAGAAGGAGGAAGAGAATTTGGAACTCAAATTTTTGCAAAACATGTTAAAAATGTTTTTACCTGTAATTGAAAATATATTACAAAACAAAAAGAAATTATATCATCATCCATTTTTCCTTAAGCAAAATTAACTCCTGCATTTTGTTCCCTAGTCCAAAGCATCAGAACCAGCAAGGCCCAAGTCAAGAGAGGCCCATGAAGCAACCTGGTCGAAGAGTGAAAAGCCAGCTCGGTGAGGTCGCTGGGCCAATGCCTAGGGGGAGTGTGGGGCCTTTGACCTTGGCTTGGGGGAAGTGTTCATAGTGGGAAGAGCTTGCCTGGAGTTCGGTGAGGTGGCCCAAGGAAGGAGAGGAAAAGGCCATTGTTGAGAACAAGTTTGGAAAGGCTCTCATTCTTTTCATGAGGGAGGTGGGTGGTATCAGGGTGTAGAAGTCAGGGGGCAGAATTTCTCTTAAGAAGAAGCTTATTGATTGCCACGTGCTACAGCCAGAATGCATACATGAAGGCAGGCTGGGCAAGAGACTGAAAAATTTCACCTTTTATTATTATTCAGTTGTTTTTCAGTCATGTCCAACTCTTCGTGACCGTTGAGGGGTTTTCTTGGCGAAGATACTGGAGTTGTTTTCCATTTCCTTCTCCAGCTCATTTACTAGAAACTGAGGCAAACAGAGTTAAATGACTTGCCTAGCGTCACATCACTATTAAGTGTCTCAGGCCAGATTTGAACTCCCAAAGATGAGTCTTCCTGGTACTTTATCCACTGCACCACCTTGACATCCTCAATTCCCCCTAAATTACCCCAACTTTTATCCCCTTGATCAGACAACTTTGGCTCCTTCTCTTTACCAAACATCGTTCTCTAGTTGACATAATATTAATACAAGTCCTCCTTCTCGTCCTGAAGACATTCTGTTTTAGAGACCATCCAGAGGTCTTTTGGACTAACAAGTCTGTGGTTTACCTTTAACTCTATTGCCTTCTTTTTCTGTTTTGCCACCTTGTGGGTCAGCACAAAGTGTGTTTCCTTATTACATTATTCTGTCATATTCATATACAGTGGTTTGGATGGTTGTTTTCTGGGTCTAGGCCAGCAGTGCAAGAGGCTTTGCTGCCTGAAACATGTGCCCTGTGATAGGCTCCCATCCAGACACTTGCCAGCCTTTGAAACAGCTTAGGAGCAAATCTAGATGTATAGGACACTGATTATCCAGCTCCTTCTAAGTTGATGGCACTTTTCACGACAGGTCCACACAGCTACCCCTTTTTCCATAAGAACACCAGCCAAGCCTTCATCACACCTATTGCTGAAATTCTTGATACAACCTGTCAATCCCTAAGCTACCTGTTTAGAAATCCTGGTCTAAAAGGGAAGTTGGCATAGTCTGTCCTGACTCATTCTAGAGGGAACCCCCAGTCTCCTTGTGATAGCTGCTTCCTTTTCTAAATCCTTTCTGACCCTCCCTTTAATAACACATTGGAGAATTTTGCCAGGCATCGAAGTCAATCCCTTTTTGAATGTCAGTCTAACATTGCCAGCATTCTGTACATCTCTTGTTCTCTGGGATCATTCACAGATTCCAAATGAGGTCTTGGCAGTCAAATCTGTCAGTCTAGGGGCTGCTGAGGATGCATCGGGTGTCTCAGTTTCAGTTGAAGCATTATTGCTTTTGTGGGCAGCATTCTGGGTTGGGCCAAAGCAGTGAAGTTTCAGATCTTTAAAAATCTGAGGTGGGAAAGGATGTGCCTTTGACCTTCCAGTAAGGTGAACTGAAGTGATGGTCAAGCTGAGGGGGAAAAGAAGCCAAACTGTTTTCCTCTGGGATATCACCCAGAGCATCAAATCTCTTATGCATTCTGGAGTTTCCCTGGCATTTGGGCTCATGTGTCTGAATGCATCTATCTGCCCGAGGCTCAGTGCCCCAGACAAGTGAGTATCTCAGTCTTCCTGGCTCAAATGGCCAGAGTCTTCTTCCTCACTTCCTGCTCCCCTGTCCTAAATGGTTGTGGAGTGTAACTCCAGCTGTTCTGAGCTGCCTTTCTTTCTGTGAGGGCCAGAATGGGTGGGGGAGGGAGGGCTGAGGGACAGTGCTTTTTAGGAGTCAATGAAATGATCTGTATTCACTCTCTATTCTGTTGCCTTCTGACAGGAAAAGAAAAAAAAAGATTGGGATCAGTAAGGGAAAGGTTATTAAAGAGAAATAAAACTATTATCACAGAAATCATACTTTGAAAATATTCTGAATTATTAAATTCCTGGACTAGGTTTAATAGAATATTAATAAAACATCTTTAAATCTCTAAAACATGAGCAGTACCATGAGAAGGAATGTTGGCTCTTTGGGCTGGGAAGGCCCTTCCATATCCTAACGTCCTGTCCCAGGCTCAGCCAGTGGCTGTGATCTCCACCAAGGGCATTTATAGTGTGTTTCTGAAGACATCTTCTGTTTTTAAGGGTACAAGGTAAAAAGATGCCTTCAGGAAATGCTGACAGATTCTCATCACTCCCAGGGAGCCAGTGCACTGACTCTGAATCTAGCAACAGTTGACTTTCAGACCTAGGGTCTGCCATTTGGGTTTTAGTTTTTGAAGGCAAATTCAGAGCATTCTAGAATGCCTTTGTTCCGCCAGCCTAGATTCAGCAGCCACGAAAGTAGCTTGCTCCTCTTCTCTCAGGGCCAAAGACATCTTGATGTTTCAGTCATTTGAACACAGCTTCTCTGGGGGCAGTGGAAAGATGGAGGCTGCAGGGAGAGAAGAGGAGGAGGAAGAGGGGAGTGAGAAGGGAGAGGCCCTTTTATTGCTCCTCAGGGCCTTGACAAAATCCTCATGCTGTTTGATAGGAGAGATCTGGAAACTGGTAGTATTTGTTGGAATGTGCATCCACTGAGGCGTGTGGATAAGCCACTGATCACCTGAATTGTTTTGATTGCAACTCCTGATTTCATCCATGTGATATGAAAGCTCTCTTCTCTCATACAGGGCAACCTCTCCATATCCATATTTTGGGAGCCATCCAGATTGCTAAGAAATTAGATGGCTTACCTCTGGTCAGGTAACCGGCCTTGAACTCAGGGCTTCCTGCCTGTGAGGCTGGCTCAGTCTACTCTGCCCCATCCATCCCCTACACATGTCAACATGTATGTAGACATTAAGGGTGACTCTGGCATCATCATGGCAAGATGTCATTATTTCAAATCCAGGGACAAAACAAAACCTTCCGCAGGTGAAGAAAGCAAAGTCTCTTTGGCGAGCAGTAATGATCCGGCAACCATTTAGGAGTGCCGTTCTGTGCGTGGCAGAGGGCCTCGGAAGTAGAGAACTGGCAAGGGGTAAGGCCTTCCGCTGCTACCCTGGCTTTGGGAACTTCTATCAGGGCCCCGGCCACTCTGAGACTGAGAAGTTGCTGATCTGCAGCCTGTGAGCACTGGAAGACGGGCGTGTCCTCTCCCAGGAATGCCCTCAAACAATGAAATCATGATGCCAGGGTGGGGTTGCAGAAGAGGAAAGGAGCCCGTCCTCGTGGAGTTTAAACCTGGGAACCTCTACAGGGACAAGTCCATTCAAGTGTTTCCTGGGAGACCTGGAAGGTTAAGAAGAACACCTGGGAGCAACCCAAAGGCTTCACTGAGCCAAGACTTAAGGGGAGCTAAGGGAGGAGGGGAGGAGGGACTGCATTCTAGGCACTAGGGCAGCCTGGGCAAAGGTGCAGAGATGAGAGATAAAATATCACACATGAAGGCCAGTTTAGTCAGAATTCAGACTATGCAAAACAGATGTGGAAATGTAGATGGGAAGCAGACCTTAAAGGTCTCTAAATGCCAAAGAAGCAGCTATCCTAGAAGAAAGAGGGGACCACTGGACATCCTTGGGGGGGCAAAGGGTCTGGCGAGACCCCTGCTGTGGGATAACGGGGACAACAGACTGGCCAGAGGAGAGACTTGAGACTCATTGGAAATGATTGCAATAGCCCGGGAAGTGTCTGGAGATCCCAGTGGAGAGAACATCTCAGACTAGGGTTAGCAAGGACTCTGAACTCCCAGTGGGCTGTCTGCCTTTGCTTCCAGTAAGGCTTTTGAGGCATCAGCACAGGGTTCTGGACAGTGGCCAAAGGGCCCTCTTGCACCATTCCATCAGCAGAAGAGACCTAAAGACCAAGCAGTGGTTGGGGGATCTGGCCTTGCCTGCCCTGGCTTTTCTTCTTTCATGGGGGGAGAATCGTGCCTGTGACTTCTTGGGTCACAAATCCAGGTTTTCCATCTGGTTCAGCAGCTCCTACTCTTTCTCAGGAAGTTAGCCAAACAAAACAAGCCCTTGGAAAGTTGAATAAACTCAGAGGTTTGGTCTTTGGGAACACAATAGCAACAGCTAGCTTTTACTCAGCTCCTAGGCCCGGCCCTACTTGAATAAGCATTTTTTTATCTTGTAATGTCCCTTAGCAACTTATTGTGGTGGCCCTTTGCTTCTAGGAAGGTTTGACCTTTTAAAGAATCCTCCTGGCCTGGAGCCAGAGGCTATATTTAAGGGAACTGAAAAGCACCTTCAAGGTCACCAAGTCCAAGCCTCTTATTTTACAGATGAAGAAACTGAGGATGCCAAGAGAAAGTAAAGTGACTTGGCGAAGGTCACACAAGCACTGAGTGTCAGTCAGCCTTCAAACTAGGAGCCTAATATGTTAAAACCAGTCTTCTTTGCGTCCCCCGCTCCAAGAGGTTAAAGGGCTACTTTGCTGCAGTAAAGTATGCCTGGTCAGTGCAGAAGCTTTCTTGAAGTTAAATAATCCCTTTTGCAGGCCCTGGGATAGAGTGAAGAGTTCCCCCCACCCCCAGGCATCCATCGCACCTTTCCCATTTCCTGACACCTGGCCTCTTTCTCAAGTCCTTTTGTTATTGGTGCTGCAGGATTTTTATACTTTATTTTTCTTTATAATAAAGGCCAGAATGGCACAGAAATGGTGCATTAAGGAAAGCAGATATCTGAGAAACCGTCAGGGAAAACATTTGCCCCCCACACCCTCTTTTCTGGGGGTTCCAGGACAAGAACCCACCTTGGGTCTCTTTTATGGCTGCCTCAGTGTCTTGTCCTGGAGGGCCATTGAGGCCCAAGGGATGCAGATCACACTGGGATGTTCTTTGAGTCTAGGATTGGCTTAAATTATAGTCTACTACCCAAGACTCTCAACATGAACTCACTGAAATCACAGCAGGCAATCCAGAAAAGTAGAGAAGAGGACCCTGTCTAATGTTTGTATGTCAAGGGCTTGCTGACCTTCCTTGAATTAAAGTGCTGCACTGCCACCTAGTGGAGAGCAGGGTTTACTCCTGTTGTCACCATGCATGGGCTTTCTTTTCTTCTTTCCTTATTTCTCCCAATTTTCCCTTTCTGCTTTCAGGTCTTCTTTTATTTCTTTTTTCTTTCTTTCCTTCACTTCATTTTCTTCCCATTTCTTCTTTTCTTTTTTTCTCCTTTTCCTCTTGCCCTTCTTTGTTCCCTTCTTTCTCTAGATTTAAACTTGTAATCTTTAACTCTTCTTGCTAAAATATCATTCCTTTTCTCAGTTATAAAATCCTTTCAAAATTGGAGACCTTGGCTGAGCCACAGTAAGGCAGTGCTTCATGTGGGACATATTTCCCAGTTTACCCACAGTGAGCATCCTTGCTTACGTTCCTTCAGTACCATCCACATGGGTAATCTCAAACAACTAGAATGTTTGACATCCCCATTAGGTTTGGCTGACGTTGATGGTAATATCCATCGTTGTACCCTGAACATGCCTTTTTTTATGCAGAGGAGCAGAGGGGGAAGGCACCTTGGAACATTCTGATGGGCCATTGGGCAGGCCTTCTACTAGAATCCACCATAAAGTAGATCATTGGTAGAACATTAATTCAGCATTGAAGTACATATTTCTTTTCTCTAAAATCCATTGAAGATTCCAGGTCAAATCAGTTAGTCAATAAAAATTTACCGAGTATGTACTGTGTGTTTGCCAAGAACTATAGAAGGACTGAGGACGCAAAGAAAGGCAAAAGTCCTGCCCTCAAGGAACACACAGTCTAATGGGGGACACATCATCTGAACAACTACGTACAGACAAAATACAGACAAGATAAACTGGCAACAATCAATAGAGAGAAGGCCCTGGAAGTAGCAGGAATTACAGAAGGCTTCTTATGGAAGGTGGGATATTAGCTGGGACTTGTAGGAAGCTACAGGCGTGAAGGAAGGCCAGTGAAAATGCAGTGAGTTGGGAAATGGAATTAGAATCGCAGGTGGAGTAAGTCAAAAGTCCCCTGGAGCACATGGCCTGGAATGCTATCCTCTTCTCACACCTCGTTCATTTCCAGTTCAGCTCAGGGCTCCCTCGGCGATTACTCAGGGACAGAGCTGAGAATAAACCCTTGATCCTTGGCTTGGCTTCCACCTGACTGTACACAGAGCTATGCTAATCAGATGAGGCTCATCACCACTGGCAGTGTGTAACTATGGTTTCTCTTACAGGCCGCCACCTCCCGCCATGATGGATGTTGAGGACCCAGACTACACACATTTCACAAACCAGCATAGTTCCACACGTCCATTTTCCAAACCTGAGTCATCTCATAAAGGTATGAGCAGGAAGTGTGGCAGCTTCAGGGTGTCCTCAGGACCTCTAGGCCCTGGGAAGCAGTCAGGGTGAGCTAGCTTCATTGTCAGAGATGATTTCCCACCTGAGACCATAACCTACCTGTCATTGTTCTGAACTTTGCAATGGAATTTTTTAGCTTTGGTCACCACTGGGGTAAGGGAATAAGTATTTTTATCATACCCACTATTATAAAGGCATCATGCTAAGCACTTTTCAGATGGTAACTCATTTGATCCTAATAAGAACTCTGAGAGGTAGGTGCTAATATTATCCCCATTGTACAGTTGAGGAAACTGAGGCAGACAGAGATGAAGTGACGTGCTTAAAGTAATGCAGCTTGTAAAGGTCTGAGGCCAGATTTAAACCCAGGTCTTCCTGACTCCAGGCCCAGTGCTCATTGCACCACCTAGCCGCCTGCAGGAGTGGAGGGAGCTAGGGACCATGAACTGTGGGTGGGGAATAGTGTCCTGTGTTCACCATAAGCTGATATAGACCTCTTCAGTGGATACTTGAGTATTTAAAACAAAGGAAATTTGTGCAATAGAAGTCGGGACCACAGAGTAGAAAGGGACCCTAGGGGCAAAATTGTCCATCTCATATCTGAACATGGTGAGCACTTAATAAATGCTTTAGGATTCATTGTCACCCTTTCATGTACATATGTGTGTATATAACATACATGTATCTAAATCTCTCTGCCAACCGCCTGTATATATCTCTAGATCACCTAGCACTTAGTAAGCACTGATTTAATTCATATTAACTGACTGCATTCCCGTGCATACCATTGGCCGTCCCTGCGGCATGCTTCGTCGACTTTTTCCTTCCGTGAAAGCCCAAAGCCCCAGTTGCTGCTTCCTTCCTCCTTGCTCTGCCGCTTGGACCACGCAGAGCCAGTGTCATGATTCTTCCACCTGGCAGCCCGGCCGGTCCTTGAAGCCAGCTCTCATAAGCACCAGGTCTTCTCTTCTCCAGGCTCCACGTCTCCTGTTTCTTTTACTGATGCTCAGGCGGTGGGATCATGAGGGTCTTCACCATTCGGGCCAGCCTCTGTAGGACGCTCTCTAGCTCTCAGGGCCCTCCTAAAACGTCACCCACGCTAATCCAGTGTGGGCTGACCAGGGTGGGGCTTGACAAGACTAGCACTTCCCTGGGCCGACCCAAGTAGTACCTCTCAGTCTTCAAAGGCTAAGGCTTGGCTGTCCAACCCACCAATGATTCACTTGGGCCACCAAACCCCTCCAGATTATTTTTCAGATGAATTCCTGTTTAACTACATCCTCCTCCCATCTTGTACTTATTTTTTTTAAGTATTTTATTTTATTTTTTTCCAATTATATGTAAAGGTAGTTTTCAACACTCATTTTTTAAAATAAGATTTTGGGTTCCAAAATTTTTCTTCCTCTTTTCCTTACCTCCTCCCTCCCCGAGACGCAAGCTATCTGATATAGGTTATACATGTTCAATCATATAAACAAATTTCCACCTTAGTCATGTTGTGAGAGAAGAAACATAGCAAAAAGGAAAAGTTACCCCCCAAAAAAACCATAAAATTTTTAAAAAAGAGAAAATAGTCTGCTTCAATCTGCATTCAGATTCCACAATTCTTTCTCTGCATGTAGACAGCATTGTCAGGCATGAGTCTTTTGGAATTGTCTTGGGTCACTGTATTGCTGAGAAGAAGTCAGTCAGTCATAGTTGATCAGTGTACAGTACTGCGGTTACTGTGTACAATATTCTACTGGTCGGCTCACTCGACGTTCCTTCAATTCGTGTCAGCCTTTCCGGGTTTTTCTGAAAGTATTCTGCTTGTCATTTCTTGTGCCACAGTACTATTCCATCACAATCACAAACCACAGCTTGCTCAGCCATTCCCCAATGGATGGGCATCCTCTCAATTTCCAAATCTTTGCCATCACAAAAAGAGCTGTTATGAATATTTTTGTACGTGTGGGTCCTTTTCTCTTTTTAATGATCTCTTTGTGACACAGACCTAGTTGTGATATTGCTGGATCAAAGGATATGCACGGTTTGATTGTCCTTTGGGTGTGGTTCCAAATTGCTCTACAGGATGGTCAAATCAGTTCACATCTCCACCAAAAATGCATTAGTGTCTCATTTTTTCCACATCTTCTCCAATGTTTATCTTTTTCCCTTTCTGTCATAGTAGCCAGTCTGATAGGTTTGAGGTGGTACCTCAGAATTGTTTTAATTTACATTTCTCTAATAAATAGTGAATAAGAGCATTTTTAATATGACTATAAATAGCTTTAATTTCTTCATCTGAAAACTGCCTGTTCATATCCTTTGACCATTTATCAATTGAGGAATGACTTGTATTCTTTTTTTTTTTTTTTGGCTAGACAATGGGGTTAAGTGACTTGCCCAGGGACACACAGCTAGTACATGTCAAGTGTCTGAGGCCAGATTTGAACTCCAGTCCTCCTGACTCCAGGGCTGGTGCTTTATCCACTGCACCACCTAGCTGCCCCAAATGACTCGTATTCTTAAAAATTTGACTTAGGTCTCTATATATTTAGATATAAGGCCTTTATCAGAGACAGTGGTTGTAAAAATTCTTTCCCAGTTTTCTACTTCCCTCCTAATCTTGGTCGCATTGGCTTTGTTTGTGCAAAAACTTTTCAATTTAATGTAATCAAAATTATCCATTTTGCATTTCATAATGTTCTCTATCTCTTGTTTGGTCATAAATTCCTCTGTTTTCCATAAATCTGACTGGTAATTTAAGGATCATTTTTGCCTGTTCCCATAGTAGTTTTCTATGGTCAGGGCTCTTTTTTATTTTTTGTTATTTTTTTTAAGTTGAGCTCTGCTCTTGGGGTACATGGGGCCACTGTCCCAAACTTCTTGTAGTGTGAGTCATGGATCTGGTTACTGGCTTTCTGCACAGGGACCTCTGGGGCTGGTGGCTTCCCCATGGAGAGCAGGGGAATAAGAATATCCTCCCATGAGCTAGAATGTTTCCTGATTTGCTGGCCACTGTTGTGCTCCGGTTTTCACACTATTCTGATGGTATTGATAGCAATTATTTTAATTTTCCTTTTTTTTAATTCTGAACCTCACAAATGTCAGCAGATAGGATCATTTCACTATACAATAAGAAGATCAGGAAAAAAAAGGCTTGTTTAAAGAACTCTGACCTTATAATGTATAGTTTTTTCTAGGCATCTAATAAAGAACATGATGGTAACAAAACGACCCTGTTTATCTTAAAAATTTGAATTACTCCTTGATGCTAGTGTTATCATGAAGTAGAAGATTTTGTGAAGTTTTATTATTTCAAGCTTTGTAGGAGGGGGAGGACCTTGTAAGAAATTCTAGAGGCACGTGCTCCTTTCAGAATTTCTGGGTTTTTATTGCCCCCCCCCAATATGAAACACTTAACAAGTTGCAGTATGATAGTTGCAATGTTGTTAGATTCTGAGTTAACACCCCAGCATTGGCCCTTGTTAGCAATGTGACTCCGCAGTTATCTCACTTATAAAAATGAATTTGGACTCAGATGATCTTAAGGCTTCCCTCCCACTCTAAATCGATGGTCATCTCAGTGTGGGTACCAAAGGTCCAGCAGCAACCTGAACGGATGCTCAGCTTGCTTGATCTAAGTGAAGCCAGTAAAAACAAACAAACAAACAAACAAAACCCAACTAACTTCTGTCTGATTCTCATTGCTTGACATAGATCTGAGTTGTTTTCACTTGAGAGACAGGATGGTGTAGTACAAAGTGTGATGTAGCTGACGTTCAAGACTCTCAGTTCCAGTCCTGGCTTTGCCACTTTCTACTTGTGTGACCGTAAGCAGATTACTTAGCCTTTCTGAGTCTCAGCTTTCTCATATGGAAAACTGGGAGGGGAGAGAGGGCCAACTGAATGGCCTCTAAGGTCCTGTCCTGTTCTAAATCAGTGGTCCTGTGGCTAATTCTTAAAGGCTTATGAACACATTGACTCAAAATCAAAGAACAAACAAAGGTTCTCATTAGCTCAGGACCTAAATGATGGACTGTCTGGAAGGCTGGATCTGAGGATCTGTCACTGACTCTTTTCTCCCCGTTTCTCTCTCTAGGTCACCGTTCCAAGCAGTAAAGATGAAGAACCAGCCTTGGATCGGACTCCCTAGTAGTCGAAGTTACTGGATTCGATCTGATGCCTTCCTCATTTGGTTCTGTTTGGTTTTTCCTCCAAAGTTTGCGTCACCAGAACTGTGTCCTCTCAGTCCCCCTCTGGCCATTCAAAGTATTTGTTTCTTTTCAAAGGTTCTAATTCCTCCAGCTTACTTGGGCAGTATAATAATCTCTAGAGCTGGGCTGTTCCTCAGTGTAGCCACTCCTTGGGGTGAGGAGTTTATTTCAGAGATCTTTGAAGTCCTATTTTGGTCCAAGGGAAGAGTTTGCTTTGGTACCCCCTGATTTTTATTGAAGGAGGCCTTGGCTGCAACCACATAGAACAAACTCCTGGAAGAAATCATTTCAGTTATTTGTGCACTAGGTGATGTTGTGAGAGATGGTGTTTACTCTGCTCTGCAAGAAACTACATCTCCTTCATGAAGTGTAGAACAAGCCAAAAAAGCATGACATCCAAAGGGACAAAGGGGCATATGACCTAGCCCAATGGGAATCTTTCCTCTTGAATAGCAGAAAGCAGAGAGATTCATGTTACATATATAAACCCCAGTTCCAACCCAATAGGAAAAGTGCCACAGAGCTCTGGCCCCAGCCTCGGCCCCCCATCACTTCCTAAGGAATGGGGCTTGGTGTGTTTTCTGTGGGCAGAGCTCAAACCACTTGGAGCGATAGCCCTTGGCACAAAAGTACACCCGCAATATTTTGGCCCATGTTGCACAGAAGAAATGAAAAGGTCAACATATCTCATCTGGTAAAATGTTTGTTGTTTTCTAATAAAGCCACGTGTGGCAAATCAGAAAGAGGAGAGCAGGGTCAAAAGTCCATAAACCCCAGAGATGCTTTTTCTGTTTCTTTCTCCTCTGGAACCCACTTAAGTAATTTGATGAAAGTGTCCATGCGTTCTCTGACCTCAGAATGCAATCTTCCTTGGCTGGTGAGAAGTACCTGTATCTTTGTAGCCCTCCTCATTGTGTCTTTGACGTGCTGGCATGGTGGCTACTTTTCACGTGGGCTCAAAGATGATAAAAATCAACCTGACCCTCCCACTCATGCTGGTTTCTAAGTCTTGGCGATACCCAAGTAAATATTCTGGATGAAATAAATACTCGGAAACAGTCTTCTTGGGATACTTAGTGCTCAGAAAACAGGAATTAATTGATGCTCTAGAGAAAGCAAATCTTCCAGCCTTGATACGGCCCTTGTGGAGGCTCTTACCTTCCTTCCATGCTTGTTTAATGGAAATAGATAATAGCCAACGGTAGTTGCCTCTCGATCCTAGTTGTTTAGGCTTTTCCTTTGGTGGTATGCACCCTGCATGTTGTCAAGTGCTCTCCAGACAGACAAGAGAAGTTCTCGGATGAAAGATAATTTGGCAGCCACGCTAATTTGCTGCTTTCTCCCCCTAGTCAGAGCACGCTTTCTGAAAACAGACTAAAGGAAGCTCTCATTCTTTGTGAAGGCCATGAGTATCAATAAGTCCAGAGTTTGAGGATGAGTTGGTGCTGGGTAGACAGGGAGTAGAGCTTATACTGAAGGCATAAGGGGTAGTTACTTACAAAATGTGGGGAAAGTTGAGGTCTCTGGAGATGGCATCAGTGCATAAGGAGAAAAAGGATTGGAGGGCAGACAGGAAAATGGAACCTCTCAATTTGTGAGCTCCATGCAGTGAGGCCACCGATACTTGACACTGTTCAGCTCCAGTAATCTAGATATTATTTTACGTGCCCAGTGGTTTGTGTGCCATGTTCTGGCAGCAGCCAATCATGGTGATTTTAAAGGAATAAAACATACAGCATGTTTTTTTTTTTAAATTTATAATTTGGCAAATAATATCATCTGCATTTTAAAATTTTATAAATGTTTATTTTTATATCTTATGGAACAGTCACAATTTTCCTATTTCTCTGGCCATCCTCATGTTTCCTCCCTTTGTCTTTAGCGTCAGCCGGGGATGCTTCTGTCATGAAGCCCGCGACATCTCGGCCACCTCCCTGGATTCTGCCCATTCTGGCTCTTTTGTTGGCATTGGGTTTAGGCCCAGAGTAAAGGTTTCACTGTGATGACTGGCCAATTTAGCATCTCTTTAGAACAATGTAAAACGTCTGGGCTTTGAAAAAAGAGGAGTTTAAACACCCGTTAGCCTCTTTGCCTGTTATATGTGTTTTTAGAAGAGGGGTTTTTCCATTTTTCTTTCCAAAAAATGGATTAAATACTTCAGTGCATCCGGTTTGATCCCACCCTGCTTCCCCTGAAGTCTAGAGCTCTTTGCAATGTTAAGAAGTATCAAAAACCTCAGTGCTCTGCTCCAAACCCAGGGCAGTGAGTGAGTCAATTGGCCTGTTGCTTTAAAGTATTTTATAACGAGATAGCAAGTACTCCTTTTGCTCCTCTGCCCATCCCTGGGCCATGTGCAAGGTGACCTTCAGACGCAAATTAATTTATGCTTTAATTCTATGGTTCAAATGAAGTGCTTCAAACTGCACAGCCCGTCAGTTTTTGTAGCCTAGTCGCAGGAGGCTGGACTATTGCATGCCCTTGATTTCATTTCTTTGCAGTTCAGGGGCTTGGCTTGCTGGTTCCCCCCAAATTTAAGCGTGGGGTTGGGGCTTACAGCAAAGCCACTGGATGCCCTGCTGACATTCTTCCAGTCATTCAGAGTCAATGATCTTAGGCCACTTTCAACTAGCTAGGGGGATGGTCTCCTGGACAGAAAGGCGGGGAGTTCACCAGACATTTAGGTTTCCAACGAAAACATAAGATCCTTCTAGAAGCATTTGCTCCCTGTTCTGGGGTGAAAAAAATTGATGCCAAAGCTATGGAAGGAAATTAGAAATTTTAGACTTTGAACTTAGAGGTTCCTTTCTCTTGGGTGCGTGTTTGCTATTCCGCAAAGACTGGTTTCCCATGGAGAAGGAAGGGCCCCCAAGATAGCCCACTTGGAGCTCCCTTTCCCGGATCACGGTTGCTATGTTGGCCCGGCATCAGGTGTGACATCTCTGTGGCAGCAGAGAAAACCCCACAGTGCTTCTGATACCTGCTTACCTTCCCACATTTTCGTCATTTGCCAGTTTGGGGTGTCTCACCCGAAACCAACACCACCCGTCTTGGTCTTTGTTTTTCCGTTTGTTTGTTTTTGTTTTCTTTGTACTCTCAGAAGACCTCCTGCACACTGAATCCTGTGCCAAATGTTTTCTTTCAGAGCCTGCTGTCGTCATGGGGGGATTCTACTTTCTCTGTGTATGTTTTATTTTCTCTTCGGGGGCTTGATTTTTGTTGTTGCCTCTGGGTCTGCTGGCTTTGGGATGGCTATTCATGTTTTCAGTGCTAATTTATAAAAAGGGAAATCTACTAGTCACAGCTATGTCCAGCCCCCATTGTACTGGAGTGAAACCCCACCGTACAGGGGCCTTTTAATATTTTGTTTTCTTTTTTCTTTTTTGAAAACTGAGAAACAAAGCCCGATAAAGTCCAAGATGGAAATGGGTCAATTGTGGGCAGCAAACATACGAGCAAAGTGAAAGTAGGATGGTTGAGTTTCCCTGGATACTGCTCTTTCGTCTTAATGCCTTTTTTATTCACACACATACAACTAACTGGCATCCCTACAAAAGGAGCAAACCCATTTAGGACCAGATGACATTTACTTATTTATTTTGTCTACTTACAGTCAGAAAAGCGACTATGGAAAGTGATTTCCCTTTCCTGCGTCTCCAGTGGTGCCTGCAGGTCATGAAGCCATATTTGCTTCCCTTTTATTGACACCAGCATATCTTTCTTCCTCTGGGCCCTATGCCAAAGGGGAGCTTGATGGGGCCCTGTCCTGTTAATGCTGCAATGAGCAGAGTGTCAGCTAAATTCCTCTTCTTTCTGGTGTAATGAGAGACTGTTAGAGATATGGAGAAATATTCAAATCTAAGGCGCTCCTTGGTGCTGCCAATCAAATCTATTCATCAGAAATGATCCAACAGGGGTCTAGAGAAATCAACCAGGGAAGAGGAAACCAGGACACTCTTCAAAAGAGTCACTTTTCTGATGAAAGTTGGACTTTAAGACAAAAAAAGAGCAGTGTCTCTGAAGAGCAGTATTGCCTTAAATTCGTTTGACTTCTCAGTCAAACACATCTGACTTAACTGTGAGCCCCAGCCAGCTCTCTAGTATTTTTGCTCAGGGAGGGCGGGGGCAGCCCCTCCATTACATAGGACATCTTCCTCCTGGGAGTTGCAAGCATGTTGCAAAGTGTACTGTTGTGTAATTCATCCCTATGTGTTTCATTTCTTTGATCTTTTGAATTAATTATTCAATGAACAAATACCTTTTGGAGGAAGAAATTCAATGCCATTGTATACACAGTTATGAAGGGGCTAATAGGTAGCAGTCGTTATTCTTGGCACTGAGGATACAAACATAAAAGTGAAACAGTCCCTGCCCTCAAAGAGCTTATGTTCTACTGAGGAGCAACATGTACACAGTAAGAAAATATAAACTGAATGAATGTAGTGATACCTTCAAGAGGTAGAAATGTTCAGTGACCTGAGTCTCTCGCATTTCAGATAATCAGTTTCAGAATGATTGAGTTTCGATAGCACCCATTAAGGCATCTCTTTAAGTTCTTTGTTCTCTTTTTGGTGACTTCTTACTCACCTTAGGGAGGTAGGAATGAATGAACTCATTTTATTTCAAGTGGAAGAATTATGAATATAAAGAAGACCCCCACCATTATTCCTCATAGGCAAAAATTGGCCAAATTTTTTTCTCAGATGGAGTGAACCCAAGTTTGTTTTGAAAGTTCTATCAGTGCCACACCAAAAAAAAAAACCACCAACAACAAAAAACAAAAACACAGCTGTGTAAATAATCACTTTCACTCACTAAAATGTGTGTAATAACTGTTGCTCACCTCCATATGCTGTGAATGCCATCCAGTAGCATTGCCTGGTCTCACACTCATCATTGCATTTGTAGGAAGGGGAACTCACAGAGCAGTTTGGCAAGCCATCTGGAGCTTTGTTTTCATGAAATATTAACCCTAACACACGTGTGAGGCAGGGAGTGCCTTTGCGTCTATGCTTACTTTTAACACATAATAGCTGTTAAGGAGCTCGCTTAAAGTAATGTCATGCTGAACGTTTTGTTTCCTAGTAATCTCGATTTTTCTGTGGAGGGTAGATCCATTGAATGACTAGAGGGGACGATCACATAGGGTTTCTGAGCTGCTGCCTTTCTAGAAAGACAGAAGGGGCAGCAAGGGGATGCATGTTAGGAAGGAAACACTTTGACCCTGCCCGTAGGAGTGATTTTGTTCTTACTCTGTAGGGATTGCAGTCCTACAGTTGCCCAGCACCCTCCAAAGAGTTTCCAACTATTGTGTTTCAAAAGGCACCCTTTAACTATAGACTTCTTTTCCTGTTCTTGATTAAATGGTTCTCAGAGACTCCTGAAGCTATCACTTTGGCCCTGATAAAGCATAAGCCAAATTATTTATTCTGGTAACCACTGCACATCCCATAAGGCTCACGTTAAAGCTTATTGCCTGCTGGCTAAAAGTTTAAATAAGTTTTAATTTCTGAAGGCATATGGGAGAAAGAGAGGGGAAGCAGTCTTTCAAATTGAGAATTCCTAGGAAGGGGTTTTTGAGATGAACGTGTGTCCGCCTCATGCCCTATATTGAAAAGTTGCTCCATAATGGACTAATTGTAAGTTTCAACTCTGAAATATTGGAAATGGGGAAGGGCAGGGGCATAGGGCAGGCATTCTTAGAAATTTAAGTGATCAGCTGTTACTCAGATGTGTGTCTTCTCAGGCCCAGAAGCACCCTGACTTAAAATAAGTCACTGTACACAATATAAAAAGATGTTGACAGTTTGGTGATTTTAAAGGACCTCCATGATGTTTTAGAATGTTGAAGTTTTTACAATCAGGATGAAGCAGTACCTGGAGGCCTCAATGGTAGCTCTGGAAGCACCAACACAGTGAGCATCCTTGTAGGATGTGTTTGATAGTGCTTAGCAGGCCGCAGGAAACATGAAGAAACTATGTTAGGGGTTTTCAGTAAAGGTGCCCCTCCCCAACGATACTTTTTACCTACAGAAAAATTTGGCTATGATGGACACATTGTGGGTAGCTTTAGAAGCAGCAGCAATGAATGACTGGATTTATGGTGTCTTTTTACCTGCTGGCAGGTAGAGATAGACCTCCTTCAGTTCATACTTGCACTGGGCCATGGCCAGCAAGTTGGTTGCCATACACCTCATACTGGACATTTCCTTGCTGAGATCTTAATAGGAAAATTCTTGCTGCGGTGTTTGTGACTCTGACCAGATGTCTCCTGGATGGCTAGGTGACAGAGCTTTGTTCAGCATCCTATTTTAACCTTGCTTGAACGGGGGCTTCACTCAGTGTAAATTGCACACTTACAATAACTCATCTATGCAATCTCTCTCATCTCTCCCTCTCTCTCTCTCTCTCTCTCTCTCTCTCTCTCTCTCTCTCTCTCTCTCTCTCTCTCTCTGTCTGTCTGTCTCAGACACACACACACACACACACACACACACACACACACACACACACACACAACAGGTCACATTGTATTTTTTTTTTAAATCAAGTCTGACATTGAACTTAATGAATAATGTTGTGAACCAAAGGGTCCTATGTGTGTAGACCAGCCTGCTTTGTTTCCTGAGGTGAACAATATTGCCCTTCTCTCTTAATAAAGTTGTCCTTTTGGTTAGCCACTGCACTGGTCTCTATCTTTACTTTGTTTCATCATAATAATGGCTTTGAAAGTATTAATGAAGCAGAAGACTTGGGATAAACATAGTGGAAAGCTTGACCTTTTACACTTCCAATGATCCATCAAGTCATCTACATGAGTCCTCCCTGCATTGTTTCAGATTGAGACCTACCCATGTCTTTTCATACTATGTCCTCCTACAGATCCTCCCCATATGACCAGTCAGGAGGCCTTCTTCTAGGTCCCATCCTTGTATGGTACTAGTGTCACATGAGATAACTCTCTGTCCTCATTGCCACAGGAACATTTAGCCCACCCTCTTGTCTCTGAAATGATGTCGCTTAAAACCCATTTTGTCCAGACAGCATTACTGGTAAGACATGATGGCCCATTTGTGCCCATCACACACCTTGTTATTTTCCTTTGGGTCGCCTGAGATTTTTAAGTTTCATTGTCATTGGTATGTCATGATCCCCAGTCATTTTATATCACCACCAAAAAATTCTGTGTGTGTATATTTGTTTTTAAGTGTGGTTGCATGTTAGGGACAATCAGGGACACCTGGAAATTCTGTATGATTTCCTCAAATTCAGTGAAGCCTGCCCTCCTCTAATTCTCAGATCATGTCATAATTCATCTGCAATAATTGTTCAAGGATGCAGAGATGACTGTCCAAGTTTTGTTTGACTTTTCCTTATATAAAAATGGTTGTGTGTCTTTGGTGGGTAAATATGAAACCACATCCTGGACTAGCCCCTTTGTATTTGTTACTTTGAGAGGTTTACGAAATGGTTTATGTTGAAGTTTGGCATTTTTGGTTTGATAAAGAGAAGGGAGTCATAGAGGAAAGAATTTCAATCTTGCTCACCTAATGATGCCAGCAATTGTTCTGAGACCATTAAAATGTCAAAATGTATCTGATTCATTTGCTTTTCATAAATCATAACTAAGCTAATAGAAAAGCATTTAAGTACTTGCCACGTGCCAGGCAATTTGCTAAGTATTGGTGATACAAATACTAGAAGCAAGACAGTCCTCATCCTCAAGGAGCTTATAGTGGAATAAGGAGAGAGAAACCCAGAAAAGCTATAGTTGGAAAGGGAGGGGACACGCCATTTGGAAAGTGAGGGGAACTGGTGTGATGCTTGGTTCTGGCCAAGATGATGTGAAAGCTTTCCTCTATGAGGCCAGGGTCCCAGCGTCAGAGTTCTATGATGGTCAGGGCCAGAAAGCAGGTACCATTGTTTGAAAACTGCCAGGATTTAAGGTTTGCTGGCTACTTGTCACGTCATCTCCTTTTCATTTCATGTGGACATGAGTTCTGTTAACATCAAAGGGCACAATGGTGACCAAACATCTTTGGGAAGGTTTTTTCTTTCTTTTTTTCTTTCTTTTTTCTTGGAACAGTGTTCCTACCACATACCAAGATGAGCTTATCTGGCGATAAGCTAAGACCCAACAGCAAGGTGATGTTCGGAACGTTCGCCATTGTTGACCTAACTATAGCTTTACAAAAGGTGAATTTCATCTTGTACATGAAAATTGGAATAAAAAATTCTGATTTTGTTTAGCTGAGCCTTCAGCAAAATTATTGAAATTGAATGATGTTCAACGTTATGCAGATTGATTGGATTCAGTTTAGAATCATCCTCCTTATTTATTATTTTTGTCTTATCCATATTGAATCCAAAGTATTAAGACTAGAGATTGGAATCTTTCTTATTGGAAATGTTCCCTGAAAGACTTATGCCCAAAAACTCAGATGCAGACAATTGAATCCAGGGCAGAAAATGTGCTTGGCAGACCACCTTTGTTTTGGCAAGGGCCCAATATCTCTTTTGTAATAAATACCACTTTGCATAGCACATAAAAATTTAAAATGCCCTTTACGTCTTGTTTATAATGATAATATGAAGCAGGTGCTTATTATTGTCCCTATTTTATGAAGGAGAAAATTGACAGGCTAAATGACTTGCTCAGGATCACATGGTTAGTGATAGAAGAGATTTGAACCCAGGCTTTCTTGACTTCAAGTCCTCCACTCTATCCATTGTGCCATGCTCACTATCTGCCTTTGAATAAGGAACCATATAACTCCAGCATATTACCAAGAATATAGAGTGCACTCAATCAAATATTGCTGTTTTGGATATTATACTGGAGCGTTGGGCTCCTCTTTGGGGATGGGTGTGTGTGTCGGTATTTAGGGAAAGGTTTTGTGTTAATTTTTGAAGAATGGCTTAAATCAATGGCATGAATTACGAATGAGTCTGACAAGAAGAGTTTATCGAGCATCTGTTATGTGCCAGACTCAGTACTGGGCCCTGGGGAGGAAAAAAAAAAAAAGACAAAACTGAAGGCCTTTGTTAGAGGCTGGGAATAAAAATTAAAAAAAAAAAGAGTGAAACAATCCTTTTTTTCAAGAAATTCTATTTGGGCCAACAACATGTACACATAGAAGTAAATACAACAAATATACAAACAAGTACAATAAAATGGACTTGGAGAGGCAAAAAGTAGCTAAAAGGACATGGAAAGACCTCAAGCAGAAGGAATAATTCTACTCTTCTTGGAAAGAAGGTCAGTTGTTCAATAAAAATTTATTAAGCTCCTGCTATACTCCTAGCATTGTGATGAGCACTGGAAACACACACACAGAAGGGCAAAAAACCAAACAAGCCAAAAAACCTAAAAAAACCAAGAAAACAGTCCTTGCCCTCTAGAAAGTCACAGTTTAGCAGAGGAGACAACATGCAGATAGCTGTGTGCAAACAGGATGTAGAAAGGACAACAGGGAAGGCCCTAGAATTGATGCAGATCAGGAAAGGTTTCCTGTATAAGGTGGGATTTTAGGTAGTACTGAAAGGAGGTCAGGGAAGCAGACATGAGGAGGGAGAGGATTCCCAGAGTGCAGAAGAGCCATTGAAAATATCCAGAGTTAGGAGACAGAGCATCTTGTCAAAGAAACAGTATATAAGTCAATTTCAGTGGATCATAGTGTGTGTGTGTGTGTGTGTGTGTGTGTGTGTGAGAGAGAGAGAGACAGACAGACAGACAGACAGAGAAGGAGGAGGAGGAGGAG